CGAACAACTTGATCTCGATCCGATTCCCGCCCCCCGCTCACGCGCGATCGCTGGCGTTTGGGCCGTTCGGGGCCCTCGCAGGGTCTCCTGGGTGCCTTTTGGGGGGCCTCTTGGGGTTATCTTGATGCATATTTTGAGTTTTTTTGTTTTCGGGATTTCCTGGGGGGGGGCTTTTGAGGGCCCCTTGGGAGCTCTTCGGGGATCTCTTGGAGGGCTCCTCCCGAGAGCCTCTCGCGGCCGAGGGCTCGAATATCCGTTCGGGCCCTCCGCGTGGGCCCCCTTTTCGAAGCCGCCCCGGGGCTTCTTGGGCTGCGTTGAGGGTAGTTTTGGAAGCTCTGTAGGGCGCGTTGAGGCCCTCCCGGGGGCGTCTTGGGCCGCGTGGGGGGCGCTCTCGGCGGCCTCTGGGGCTGCCGCGGACGTTGCGGGAACTGAAATGGCGAAGACGGTGGAGGAATATATCTTCCCATGTGACTAAGGCGATCTTGGTGTGTTGGTGCACTTGTGGGACCTTGTGGTGGCGGTTTTGGAGGCCTTCGCGGGAAAAAGCCATCTTGGGCGCTGAAGGATTATTCGTTCGGCGCTGCGGGGCGCTCGTGGACCGTAGTGAAAGCTTCTCTTGGCGCTGTTGGACGGTCTCTGCGTTGGCCCGGTGATACCCTCTCAATTCCGTCTGTAGCGTCGACCGGCGTCTAGAGTCGATGAGATAGCGTCGGCTAGAGTCGACCAGCGTCGATTTAGCGTCGACTAGCGTCGATTAGCGTCGATTCGCAATAGTCGACAAGATGGTATGGGAGGCCCCCATGGGTTGCCACCGAAACGGAGGGAAGTGAGAAGGGGCGGGCCTTTTTCAGAAGGCTCGGAAGTCCCGGGGCCTTCCTGGACAGTTTCCTTTGGTTTGCCCCGAAGACGCAAAAAAAAACCTCTCTGAAGGACGGGGGCATTCTGAGCAACCCCTCCGCCTTTTGAACTTTTCCTTCCCGTTTTCCCCCCTTGCTCGCCGCCGAGTCACGGCAGGAGGTGCCCGTACCCGTACACTGGGGCAGGCGCTTTGTCCCTCGAGGTTCCCACCCCTTCTGGGGCGCGAGGGATGTCCGCGTTTCGCGCGTTGCGACCTGGGTTGGGCAGCCGTGACAAGGTGCAGCGGTCCGCGCGGCGGTTTTGGTTCCCCCTCGGCCGCTGTGGACTTTTCCAGGTCCCAGGGGGGGGGGGGAGCCCGAGTTTTATGAGGAGCCTGCCGAGTGGTAGGCCTGTTGCTCTGCGGAGAGGGGGCCTTGCCCCATGTAGTCAGCACTTTCAGCACACCCTCCTCCTCCACAATTACACAATATGAAAATACTCTCCCACTTCCCCTGATGGCGTCCCGAAGATATCCGACCCCCCCCCGCGTACTGTTTTTTTACACAGGGTTCCCGGGAAACGGGTTTTCGCCTGCGTTTTTTCCAAAATGCTGCTCTCGCTGAGGCGCCGGCCTCATTTCTGCTCCCGAATCGTTCCGAATCGTGCTCCCGCTGCAGCGTGGGCCTCATTTTCGGATCGGTGTTTGGCCTCCGTCGTTCCGGATGGCGTTCTCGC